AATTATAAATTTTAATTTTAAAACATAAATTATAAGTATAAATAATCATGCGCAACTGCGCGAGTCAAAATCTAATTTTTTCTTATTTTTTACTTACTTTTTACTTTTGTTTCACTTCTCTTTTTTGTCATCTTTTTTTGTTTTACTTATCATCACTCTAATTTGGCATTATCATCTTTATTACCTGTTCTAGCATGTCTCTTTATCACGCTTCTAACAAAATTCAGATGTTGAAACCAGAGCCGGCCCTACAAATCTTAAAACATAAATTATAAGTATAAATAATAAGTATAAATAATCATGCGCAACTGCGCGAGTCAAAATCTAATTTTTTCTTATTTTTTACTTACTTTGTACTTTTGTTTCACTTCTCTTTTTTGTCATCTTTTTTGTTTTACTTATCATCACTCTAATTTGACATTATCATCTTTATTACCTGTTCTAGCCTGTCTCTTTATCACGCTTCTAACAAAATTCAGATGTTGAAACCAGAGCCGGCCCTACAAATCTTAGGGCTGCAAGCCAAAACAAAAAAAATTGGCCAAAATGCCTGAAGATCAGTTCGAACCCACACTCAGAATAAGAGGAAGTAGCTGTGTACACCAGAAAACTAGAAGACCTTTTAATTAAAAAGTGGCCGATATTTTACTTAACTAATGGCGGCCGGAAGCTCTCGCTTCTTTTATTTTGTGTCAGGGCCGCCCCTGGTTGAAACATACAAATTATATTGTTCCATTTAACCTCAAGGTCTATGTTAATTGTCAACACATGATTTTTACTTATAAGAGTTTATCAAACAAACAACATAACTCTTTTAATTGGCCATTCTTTTGTAAAATTTTGTTATTGGAAGTTTTGTTTTTCTATCTAATTCAATAGTGTATTTTTAACATCTCAAGTTCATATTATTTTATAAATTATTTGAAATACGAATAATAAAATTTCAGAATCAGTTATTAAACTAGAAATTCGCTAGATGTTAAAATTATATTATCACGACAGACAAATATTACTTTTAACATTATTTATATAGATCAATTTTGAAATTGTTTCTTTATTTATTTTTGTTAATATCTCGATATAACTGAATATACTTATCTAGCTTTATTACAAATCACCGATCTTAGTTTAGACTCTTTTAAAGTAAACCAGGAGTTTGAGCTGATTTGTATTACAAATCCAGTATTAATCTAATGTGATTTTTAAAAACATTTTAAAATCTAGGGTTATTAAACTTATCATTTCATAAAATACTTTGAAACTCAATGTGATTGAACAAAATTTAAAAGAGAGATTTTTTGAGTTCTTTAAATGTTTTTAAAGTGTTTGAGAGGAAATTGTTGCTTATAAAATTTTAAATTTAAATCTCATAGTTTTAGATGAAATTCTAGAGTTATTTAATAAAAATCACATCAAATTCTTAGATTCATTTACAATTATCTAAAATTCATTAAAAATCAAATCACTTCATATTTCAGATTCATTATACCCTTTTTTAGAAGATAATTGTAGGTCTGGGCATTTTACCCGGACCCAAAGACCCGACCCGGAACTGGCCCGAAAATATGCGGTTCGGGTAGGAACTGAACCGATCATTTTACCCTATTGGATCTTGATGTGGAGGACCCGCGGGTCTTGGACTCGAACCGACCCGAATCTGAGACCCGATGGGGTACCCGAAATATCCAAAACATCTAGTATATATTATGTATATATATGTTTTAGTATTTTTATGGTATTATGAGTATTATTTTATATCTTGGATTTGGGTTTTCGGATATAACTACGGGTTTTAAGTAAAATTTTAGGTTTTTTTAAATATAATTCGAATAATCAGATAAAGTTTTGGATATTTTTATGTATTCGGGGGAGGTTTTGTGTAAAATTTTGGGTATTTCTTGGATATTTAAATATTTTCCAGTATTTTTTGTGTGTTTTAGATATTTTTTTGGGTCATACCCGGTAGGACCCGAACCGAACCCGACCCGAAACCGAACCGAATCCGAACCAATAAATTTTAATTACCCCATTGGGTAATTAAAATTTAAGAGCCAAACCGACCTGGACCCGGTAGGACCCGAACCGAACCCGAACCGACAAAGTTTAATTAACCTATTGGGTCTAAATATCTAAAACCCGAAGGACCCGGACCCGACATAACCCGACCTGAACCCGATCCGAACTGGAAAATGCCCAGGCCTAGATAATTGTATATATGCACTTTCACTTTTTCAGATCACGCAATCTCAGTTGATTTATATTCTATTATGCACCAAACTTATCTACTCACAAATTCATTTCAAAACAATAAAAGTGATACTCATTTTGCTAGATGTTAAAAAATTACTAACATGACAAGCAAGCATTACTTATAACATCATTTGTACTAATTAATTTTGAACTTTAGATTTTTTTTTTGTTAATATCTCGATATAACTGAATATACTTATCTAGTTTTATATTACAAATCATCGATCTTAGTTTAGACTGTTTAAAAATAATCACACACACATACTTTTTCTTCTTAGAATATACAATTGTAGACACTTTCACTTTTTCAGATATTACAATCTTAGTGGATTTTTATTCTAATATGCACCAAACTTATCTACTCAACAAAATCATTACAAAAAAAAATAAAAAATAAAAATATCATCTCATAATTATCAATAAAGACAAAAGAAGAAAATAAATAAAGAAAGCAACCGTTTCTCTCCCGCCTTCACAGCTGTGTTTCATGATTAGCCAGCGAATATACCGTCACTCCTTTCACACAACCGTCACGCTTTTACAAAACAACAGTCCAATAAGAGACCCCATCACTTACATCATCCAACGGTCGGAACGACACGTGGCGTAATCTCACTCACCTTTCTGTATATATCATTCTAGCAATCTTCTTTAAAGTGCTCTTCCTTTACTCACTAACCAAAACTCTCTCTCTCTTTTCATGGCCACAGATCAAGAAAACCTACTCTCTGATGATTACAACGGAACGACGACGTTTTGTGTGTGCGGGTATCTCCCTAGGTTCCATGTGTTCCGGTGGCGAAGAGTAGGAGGAGGAGACGGTGGCTGGAGTGGTAACCTGCAGGAAGAGAGAAGGGAGAATTGGTGGAGCAGGAAACTTAAGGTGCTAAAAGAGATTTCTGAGAAAATTGCGGGACCAAAGTGGAAAAACTTTATAAGAAGTTTTAGCAAGAAGAAGAAGGTGAAGAGAGATGTGGATTTCACGTACGATCTTGAAAACTATAGTCTTAATTTTGATGAGGGTGGTGATAATCCTTCACCGGAGAGGTATGTAGCTCCGGTTGTTATTAAAGTTTGATACCTTTTTTTTTTTTTTGTATTTATCTCTCAGTTTGTAACTATTTTTGTTGGTTGTGTTATTATATGTTAATACAAACATATACAAGGGGTTAATTATAGTAATTTTGTGTTTAATTTTGGCGTGATTATGTGAAATGGCCAGCTAGACTAAATTGATAAATATTGTAGAAAGTAACTAAAACATTGCTTTAGAGAATAATAACATTTTTGTATTTATTCACTCGGATCTTTTTATATGCTTAGATTGGAATACTTTTGTGGATAAATTGTGAATTATATTACCGAAAATAATAAGACAACTAGATTTTGACCCGCGCAACCGCGTGGGTGTTTGTTTTCGTTTATAGTTAATTATATAAATATTTTATTTTTACTTGTAAATTGATATATATATTATAGTAATCACATATTTACGATATGTATAGTAAATATTTTTCAAACATAATAATATTATATAATAATTAATCAAATAATTTTTTTCAAATTTTCTATATTATACATGTTTTTCAAACATGTGTTTGTTTATTCTTCTACATTTTATTGTTTCTTAGATTAGTATTTCATTTTTAGATAAATTAATATAAATAGAATTTTGATTAAATATTAGTATACTTTAATTTGCAAAGATAATATAATTTTTTTTACTAAAAACTAATCTTATAGCTTCATAAATTAATATTATAAAGAATTTTATTAAAAAGGAACTTTTTAAACAATTTCTTTTTTTTTTAAAGTATAATTTTAAAAATTTACATCGAAATAAATTTATCTAATATATATAGCGTGTAAATTTTGTTAGGGTATATAAATATTTCATATTACTAATCTGTGATTTTTGTTAATATATTGTGGATACATTTAACTATTATTGACATATTTCTGTATAAATAATAGAAGATTCCTAAACTTATATCTATTGACATATTTTGCGTGACTAATTTGCAAGGTGTAAGGTAATTTACCAAAATCAAATTGTTAAGTATATCTTTGTTATTATAGATATGATTTCTCATAAGATATAATAATGATAAGATTATTAGAGAATTAATGTAACATAATTTTCTAGTAATAGTCCATTTTTTAAAAAATCACACATGAAGTCAAGTCATGACTTCTGTTTTAATATATAAGATATAGCAACAGGAAAGAGATACTTTACTTGTGTGGGTAAAATGTGAATTATGGATCTGGTTGGTGAGAGCATGGATGGAATGTACTCAGTATATTACAAGCAGATCAGAGTTATCAAGTAGTAGGCAATATACTACAAAACAAAACAAAAGCAATTGGAACATGAAAGCCTACTTAGTATGGAGATGTTTTCTTTATATAGAAACTATGTATCCCCCAATGCCCTCCACTCACTGTCTTATTCACAAGATACCATGCTAATGATGGTTCCATAATAAAACTCATGCATACAAACTATCCCAATTGAAAAAAAGAAACATCAAACAAAAAAGCCTGAATCTTCTTTTTTTCATCTTTGGTTTGTGAACTAATAAAATATATGGCATCACATAACCAAACTATTTACTATGTTGTAATTGCACAAAAAGTTGCTTTCTAATACTGTCCCCTCACCTGTATAGACCCAACTTTAACCCCTAAACCTGCTTCGAATCCAATCCGATCCAGCTCCTCAATTCACTCCATAAATTTTGTTCTTTCTACATGAAACGCTCTCTTCCGCTAATGTCACCTGTATTGCTTTCATCCACACAAAGTTGTTTCAGACTCTAGTCAAATCGATAAGTTTAGGATATGCCTTTAATACCAAAAGATAGTGTGATGTAAGTATAATAAAAATACCTTTTGCGTTTGTTCTTCAAGACAGTGGATGAAGATGGATTGCTGTGCCAATTCCTCTTCCTCTGATTAATGAACCAATTGTTTATCTGCTTTAGCTGTAAACCTGTCTCCTGCACCAACCTCGCCTTATCTTCCTCCTGACAAAATCAGATATTTGCAAAATCCCACTGTTATTACTTGTAAGTTTCACTAAATGGAAGAAAACTAATGAGGGAGAGAGAGCTCACAGTAGGGTAAGGCCATTTGGAATGAGATTGCCACCATGCTTTGAGAACAGAGGTGGTGTCTCCTGGTAATTTACCAGCTCTTCTCTTCCTCAGTATCTCCTCTCTTATGTCTACTATTTTCTCCTTGTAACCCTATTTTCACACCAAACAAATAAAGCTTCTACATTACTACTTGTAATTGTGCATATACACTACTACTTGACTCAGGAGATATACAGACATAGTATCTATACTTGCAAAGTGATTAAAGTACTAGGTGGCTTTAGTCAGAGACAAGACAATGTTCAAGAAATCGCTAGGCGGTGATTAGGCGATCTGTAGGGATTTATTGATTAGGCGGGCACCTAAATTTTTTTTTTTAAATCGTTAAAGAAAAATAGTAGGTCCGATTTGCCGATTAGGTACCGCCTAAACCGATTTTAGAACATTAGTCAGAGAGTAACTAGTTCTTGAATGATTTTTTGCTTAATTACCTGTTTGAGCTCATGTTTGAGTTCTTGTCTAACTCGCTCCATTAAAGATCTCTCGCTCTCAGTAGGAATCAGAGGACCAAACCCCAATACATCTACTAAGCCTCCTCCATCAAACATATTAACATCACTCTCCACTTGTTCATCTTCATCATCTGACATTGTTGCTCCCATGCCTTCTCCAGGAGACACCCCTATCTCACCAACAAACACATATTGTAAATTTAACAACAAAACAGAGCATGTCTTGTAAACTACTTGATGATACATTGCCTCTCAACTCTCACCTGTTAAGCTTTGAAGAGACTGCTCAATCTCCCAACAAGCCATCACAGCTTCCATTGCATGAACACGCACGTGTTGTTGTAATTGCTCTTTGAAAGAACACAGAAGCAAAACATAATGCGTCTTCGTTTTATAAAAGACAAAAAAACATGTCAACAGAAACAGATCAGTTTCAGACAGAACAGAATAGGTTTTTAATAATTTTCTGTCGAAATAAAAAACATGTTACCATGAACCGGTGAAGCTCTTTGTCGAGTTCTTGTCCGGCTCCTAAAGCAGAGTACTTCGCGACGACGTTATGTGACTGAGCAAGCTGCGCGTCGATCCTCGGAAGCTGATCAACCGGCGTCGCGATTCTCAGACACGCGACGTGCGCCGACAAAAGCTGCTCGTACAGCGGATGCGTGAGTATCTCCGCCTTTTGCTTCGCATTCTCCCAGCTCACTACTCCCTCTTCCGCCGTCGCCACCGCTCCTCCTCCTCCTCCTCCGTCGTTCTTGTTCTCGCCGTCTTTAACCATCGTCTCTGCTCCCACGTCTCCGACAACGGCGTTGTTGTTGTTACCGGTTCGTTGGAGGAAAGAGGAAGAACGGGAAAACCACTGATTAGCTGCGACGGCGGTGGCGGCGGAGGGAGGCGAGACGGAGGTGTTTGCGGCGGTTGACGTGTGGAGGTTGAGGAAGTTGTTGTCTGAGCGGAGAAGCGCCGTGTTGAGCAAGTTAGGAGGTTGTGGCGCGTCGTGGAAATGTTGCTGTTGCGGAGGAGGTCCGTCTTGGTTGGTTAAATGATTGAAAGAGAGGTCTTGAGAGAGATGATTGTTGTGAAACGCCATCGTTTCGATGATTTTTTTGTATTAAAAATAAAGTTGTTTCGAACTTTCTTGTTTGTGAGAGGGAAAGATAAAGAAAGGAGGAGAAGGTTGAAACTCGAAACTCTGCTTTCTATGACGATTGTGTCAATTATCAATCCACAGAAAAACTTTTTTATCTTTTTCTTTATTTAAACATAAAAGTGTCAATAGAAAAAAAAAAACATAAAAGTGTCAGAGAAAATGGTAATGAGTATATATGAGGGGGCAACGAGAAAGTAGAGAGAGAAAGTAGATCTCAAAGGGTTCGGCGTACGGCTGGCGCGTGTGCGTTCGTGCCGTCGCCGGAACCCCTCTTCTCTTTAGATAAAATCACAAGCATTTTGCTTCTCCTCTAACTCCCCATCTTCCGCCTTGTCTGAGCTCTGGCCAGCCTTCACCCATGGTGGTACGGTCTCTGGAGTTAAGACGCGGTCGTGTGGTGGTGTTAATTTGGTGAAGACGTTTTTTCAGTTTAGTTTCGTCTCTGGGAGACAGAGGCTCCTACAGCTCTGTCGACGCCGGTCTTGGTCTCCGCAGGGTGGAAGCTTCTTCAGTTTCACCATAGTCGGCTCTAGGTTCCGGCAGGTGAAGGCTTTCATAGTTTCTCTTCGCCGGCTTTAAGCTTTTGTTTGTTTTTTCATTACAATCTCGTGGTTATGATTTGTGTTCTGTATATGGAACGGGAGTGTTTCTTGTTTGTCTTCGAATGGTAGAAGCTCTGTGGCGTCGGATGAGATCTCGTGTGTTCGATGAAGCTCTCCGACATGAGCTAGAGCGGTGAAGATCAAGTCAAGGCGATGGTGGTGCTCCGGCGACTGTGCGAGACGACGACGATCAAGTCGAGGCGTTAGTGACGCGTGACGTCCGGACGGTGCAGATTTATCCGTGTCCAGCCTCCTTGATGCGTCTCTCGGTTTAAGTGTCGGGTGTGTAATGTCTGGGCCGTGGGCCGGGTTAGTGTAATTGGGCTTTGACGTTTCTGTGTCTGCCCGTAGGCTTGTGCGCCTTTGTTGGCTTTTAGTGTATGTGGACTTGGTTCTTGTCTATGGGCTTGGCCCCTTTTTATCACTATAACAAAATCTTCAGTGAAAAAAATATATATATATGAGGGGGCAAGGGGGGGGGGGGTTGCAGACTTGCACAGAGCTGAGAGAAGACCTTTTTTCTCTTTCTTTAATTTGATAAAAAAAAAATTTATCTTTTTATTTTATTTTAATTTTTCAGAGTACTTATAAGTTAAGCAGAGGTTTTTAGATCATAAAAAAGATTATAACAAAAAATCTTTAAAAAATAAAAAACTAAATTAATCGTAAGTATTTATCATAATTCTACTTCCTAAATAATAACTTATAATACTAAACTCCAATCCTAATATGAAATAAAAATCGAGTTCTGATTAATGTTATTTCCCAAACTATCATATTTTAAAAACAATTTTTATGATATCTTGAAGTATTTTTATTATTTTATTAGTATTTTAGACAATAATAATACCAAGCAAAAGTATTTCAAATTATAAGTAAATAAGTTTTAGTTATGTGGTTGGCAATAATATTATTTTGGCTAAGGACCAAAGCAAAAATCTTCGTTTCCAATCATTCCGTGCCCACATATAGAGTGAAAAAAAAAAAGATTAGGTCACGCTAAAAATGTGATTAAAGAAATTAGGTTGTCGTGGCCTAGTCTGGGTCGCTTGTTACGAGTGGCGACTGGATTCACTGAGATCGGACGGTGAAGCAAGGTCGTTGCACTATCCTTCATTCGACTGTGCTTTATTTTTAGATATATTATGAGAAATAATAAATGTAATTTATTTTGCTTTTAAAGGGTGGTGTGCTACGTGTTGTGGTGTTTCCAAACGCAATGTATCTGATGTACATGCGCGTGTGTCTGACGGCTGACGCTCATATTTTTACTGCCGGAGCCGGACCATTCGGTGTTTTTGTATCGCGCATTAGGAAACAAATAAGCATTACTCGTGTCAAAAAAAAAACATTTACATTTTGCTTCGCGTTTTCGAGTGCCGGTCCAACATTTTCATTTTTAATCCCCTAAGCTCATTTAATATTCTATATCTTTATTATTCATGTAAATTTTTTATCATGCCCTATATATAATTAAAATTATTATTTAAAGTTATAATGTCCTAAGTGGTTGCTTGCCTCGCTTGTACTCTGGACCGATCCTGCACTTCCTCTTACTATACTCGTTACCAGAAAATACTAGTACCTGTTTTATTTTCTTATTTACAGAAATAATATTTAATCTATTTGAACAACCTGCCGAAAACAAGAACAAAAGTTACTCTACTTCTCAATTATTATATTAATCAAGCAACAAGATCAATGTTCACTTGTTTTTCTTTTTTGACAAATCAATGTTTACTTGTTGTAAAGAGTTTTTTGAAATGAATAAAAAAACATAAATTGTTTTTATTTTCATTTTTAAGTTTGTCTAGATTCTAAACACGGAAATATAATATAGATTCTAAACATGTTGTTTTTATTTTCATTTTTCCTCCATAACAATTTTCAGGCAGCAAGTTCCCAAAATGTGTCCACTAATGGTTCAATCATTCCCATTAATCAGTTTTTATTCAATTTAGCTATAAACGTCGACCCACATGTCATCTTACTAAACTTGAAAAATTCCGAGAGTTTCTTTTTTATTTGACAAAGAAATTCCGAAAGTTTTCCTAACCGGTACTCACACGTATGAAACTCTGAAATGAATCATGCACGACTTGCGTGAAGATATAACGGTTGTAATAAAAGATTTGTCCATGTAGTCAATATATTACAACTACAAATTTATGTACAATATTTTCGACTTGCATGTATGTACACTCACATTAGTCGTGGCCATAATCCATTTTCCATGATATCTAACGTAACATAGCAATGATCTTTGAGAAACTCTAAAATCGTAGAAATTTTGTTTTAACAAAGATTCGAAGACTTGTCTCATATACAATAATTGACCAATTCATATCGTAGGTACAATGGTAAAATTTTAGGGTGCAAAAGACCGATCAAAACTAACCATAATTTTTTATACTAAAAATTAATGTAGGTTTAATTTTGACAGTCTTTTGCAACTAAAAACAAAAAATCAGCGTCACATATTCGTAAACGTAGTCTCAAATAAAACTTTCTTGCCGTCGGTATCAAATGACTTAAGTTTCCCTATGATGTGTGTCCTGCTCTGCCCTTTCTATTGCTTCTATTTGAAAGATATCCTATCGCTTGACTTGGTTGCTCCAGCCTTGATTTTTTTGCCCTTTTCAATTAGTCTGAAGAGTTTAGATATTGCAAAAAATATTCCATATTATCCGCTGAATATTCTACAAGTGGCATACATATATGTCTATTGAGTTCTTTAAAAACAAATGCAAACTAAGTAACTAACAATTCAAATACTATATGAATAAAATAAGAATTACATAACTAAAGCAATAAAGTCTAAAAACTTTAGCAAATTATGTAAATAAATTATCAATTGCTTATTGGACAACATATTACTTTTTAAATTTCTAATGCAAAATGTATACTTTCAGCTAATCATTCATTATAAATGTGAACGACGAAAAATTAATGGATAGTTCTGCTTACTCTAGGGTTCCACCACAACCCGTGTAACAAAGATAACCAGTTGGCATAAAGCTATAAACCGGAAATAACGGATGGTAAAGAACAAATTAAAGGGCAAAACGAGAGAGAGAAAGGCGACCATAAATCACGCTGTTACTCACGCGTCAATACGACGTTGTCTGGACCACGACAGGTCCCCGCCAAAGCAAAAGCATGCGTCTTAGGATAAGAGAATCCGCACCCTACATTTGGATTGATGCAACCCGAATAAAGAAAAGGTAAATATAAATAAATTATTTCCCAAGAAACTGCGAAAAACACATATTAAAACCAATAATATAAACGTGGTAGAATCAGTCTTAGATTTTTTCTGACAGCCGCCGGCTTAATGGAAGAGGAGTAGAGGGGGGACGGATTTGAGAACGTTTCTTAAAATTTAAATTTATATCTTGATTATTTTCTATTGTTTCATTCTTTATTTAAATAAAAATTGTTGAATTTTAAAAAATATAATATTTTTTATGGAAAATTGTATTTTTATGAGAAAATTAATATTCTAAAGTTTTAGTTCAAGTTAAATTGATATTTATACATAACATTTGTAATAATATTTATAAATTTAATTAACTATTTAAATAATATGATTACAATATTTCTTAAAATCTTGTTATAGTAAAATAAGAAATACATAAAGATTTAAATATCATGTAAAAGTAGATAAATCTCACCTCATGTATAAGATGTATTTATCAAATAATTTAACTGTAAAGTAATAATCCAATTATCATTGTTGAACCCTCTAGGCTCTAGTTATATGAAATTTAGTGATATAACATACTATTTAAATTTAATTTTAGTTACATGATAATTATGTTTTAAAAGGATAGATTAGCAAAAATAATAATTAATTATTTGATTGGGAAATTGTACCTAGTGACTAAGAAAATAAGAAAATTAACTAACTAACTAACTAAATTTCTATCTTTTCTCTTTTTCTTTCTTCCTATCTCTCTCTAAATTCTTTCTGAAAAACTAATTTTCTTTTTTTTTTATTATTATTATTTGATATAACCCCTATTCGATATATTAACTGCGAGGAGTGATGACCATATAGCGCGTGGGGTGAACTCGTTGGTGACGGTTGATGGGTGAGAAGGTGTTCTATAGCCAACTGTTTACGGAAATCCTTAATTGTTACATTTAGAAAGTATACTCTATTTAGTTCTGTTAATAAAGTCTCAGTTTATAGTACATGAAATCGATTATTTGTGTCACCTTGTGTTGATTTTGTTAAAAGTTTGTTTTTAATTCAGATTTTCGAGCTGAAAAGTGTGAACGCAATTTTACATGTGCGCGCAGTTTGCTAGTGAACATGTAAAAGTTGTAAGTTCA